CCCCTTCCCCGACCCCGTCGCCGTCGCCGCGCGCGCCGCCCCTCCCCCAACCCCGTCGCCGTCGCCCCGACCACACGCCGCCGTCTTCGGTCCGGCCGCCGGTGCCCTTTCCTCTTATTTTTTTGTGCATTTTATGTATATATTCTCTGTGTATATATGTATATGTTCTCTGTGTATATATGTTCATATATGCAAAAGTTAGATTTTAGAAAAACTTTATATATGCAAAAGTTTATATCTGCAAATATTTATACATATATGTAAGTATATATGTATGTATAGATGTATGTATGTGGATACACGAGGGGGGTCGATATACCCCCTCTCCGATAGCATTTTTGTGCATTTTAGGTTAGTATATATATATATGTTGATGTATATATGCAAAAGATAGATTTTTAGAAAAAATACTATTTTTTCTGTTGATGATACGATGCTGTTTTTTTTCATATATGCATTTTTTCATATATATGTATTATTTTTTTAAGTTGTTAGTAGATATCGATTTTAGGTTAGTGCATTTTATCACTGATTTTAGGTTAGTTGATCAATTTAGTGCATTTTATGTTTGTTGCATTTTAGGATAGTGCATTTTATGTTAGTGGAGAGGAAAAAGTAAAATAAGGAAAAGGAAAATAAGTAGAGAAAGAAGGAGAAGAAGAAGGAGAAGATGACGAGAGGAAGAAGAGAAAGAAGAAGAAAAAAAAGAGGAGAAGAAGAAGGAATAGAGGAGCTTCTTCTCCTTTTTTTCTCCTCTTTTTTTTTCTTCTTCTTAATTTTTATCAGGAACGAGGGTGTCGAGGATCGCCGAGGGGTCGAGGGTCGGGAACTAGGGTAGAGGGTCGAGGGTCGTTAAGGGGTCGAGGGTCGGGAACGAGGGTGTTCATAGCATTTTTTTGTTTATATATGTTTTTTCATATATGTATTAATTTTTTATTTAGGTTGTTAGTAGATATCGATTTTAGGTTAGTGCATTTTAGGTTAGTGTAGAGGAGAAATTTAAAGTAAAATAAGGAAAAGGAAGAAAAGAGGAAGAAGGAAGAAGGAAGAAAGAAGAAGAAAAAGAATGAGAGGAAAAAGGAAAATAAGAAGATGAAGAAGAGGAGAGGAAGAAGAGGAGAAATAAATAAGAAGAGGAAAAAAGAAGAAAAAGAAGAGGAGAAGAAGAAAGGAATAGAGGAGAAGAAGAAAAAATAGAAAAATTTCTATTTTTTTTCTATTTTTTCTTCTTCTCCTCTATTCCTTTCTTCTTCTCCTCTTTTTTTTATTCTTCTTCTTCCTTCTTCCTTCTTCCTCTTTTCTTCCTTTTCCTTAATTATTTTCCTTTCTCGTCATTGTCGCGTCGTTGTCGATATAACCCCCTCGAGATAACTTCGACATGAGGGGCGGTCGATATAAATACCCCCCCCCCTCGGCCCTCTCGCTCGACCAAAACTCTCGAGGACACCCAAACCCTAGAGAGAAAATGATGTTGGTCTCCTACCCCCTCCCGCCGCGCCCCTACCCGACAAATTAACTCTCTCGAGGCCACCCAAATTTACCAAGTTAAAAGAGCATTGTCGTCAAGGCCACCCCAAACCTTTGAAGCGTTGTTGTGTCGAGGCGACCCCAAACCCTAGAGAAGCAGCGTCGAGGCCACTAACATGATTCCTTATTGTGATTAGCTGGCTAGTTCTACGTTTGCCACTAATATATATATATATATATATATATATATATATCCATCTGTACCATATATAAACATGTTGTAAATATTTGCAGAAACTATGGAGCACTGCCGAGACGAAGAAACAGAAGCGATATTGAGGGACATAATCGCAAATGGAAGGGATGAAGTTGCGTCATTTCTCCTCGACACCGTTGGTCAGCTGGAAGAATGGGGTGAAGAAGAGGGCTATGTTCATGATGGCTTCGGCCCATTAATGCCGGTACAAGAACAGGACTATGTTCATGATGGCTCCGGTGACACAATGGAGGAACAAGAAGGAGACCGTGCTGACTGCTCCGGTGACTGAACCGAGCCCGGCCAGGTATATATATATTAGTTAAGCTCGTGCTGACTAGTTAATTGATGCTTCCATTGTTTTGGTATATGTACACATATTAATTACTCTCGTCTTTCTTCCTTATAATTTCTAGCCCTCCGGATCGAGCACAACTTCGGTAAGGAGACGAGGCCCAAAGAAAAAGTTGAGCTCGGATGAAAAGTTTGAGATCATAGAAATCGCGCCGACGGCGAACCTATTGAACCCATCCGGACAAGGAAGGCATTTTCTTCTCAGTGCGGGGTTCTTGTTAGGGAGAAGATCCCGATCAGCATCCAACAATGGTATAAGCCTAAGGAGGAAGACCCTGAGGTGTCTTATGTCAATGATATGCAGAAAGAATATCTTTGGACTGAGCTGAAGGCAAATTTCACCCTACCGCCAGAGGAGGATCCGGAGAAGCCAGTTAAAGAGGAATTAATCAAGTCTTGTGCTCTTAAGAAGATGGCAACCCTAATGAGGAGGTGGAAGAAAGAGCTGAACCAGTTCGTCAAAAATAAAATACACCAGAATTCATCGGCAAATATGAGAAGATGAAAGATCACTGGCCCGCATTTGTGGCCCACAAGACATCAGAAAAGAGTAAGAAGATGTCGGAGACAAACAAGAAAAATGCTGCGAAGAAGATGCTTCACCATCGCACGGGGTCAGGTGGCTACCTGCAAGCCCGGCCTAAGTGGTCCAAGACTGAGAATGATCTGCTTGAAAAAGGGATCGAACCAGAGACAATGAGATGGCCAGACCGTTGCCGCACTTGGTTCTTCGGGTCTGGCGGAACCTTGGACCCTGTAACAGGGTTTTGCCAGTGGACGGACGAGCAACTGGAAATACCAGTCAAGAACCTTTGACACTATATCGATGCAGCGCAGCGAGGGACGTTCCTTCCAAACAGGGAGAAGGACGAGCTCACAATGGCCCTTGGGAATCCTGAGCACCCTGGATGGACACGAGGCACGCCAGGCTCCATTCCGTGGAAGGTTGGTTTTCCGGACACAGGGGGTTACAAAACCCACGAGAGGAGGAAGAAACTGGAGCAGGACCAACTGCAGGCGCTACACGAAAGGGTAATGGGGCTAGAGGATCGAGAAGAGGAACAAGAAGCAGCAGATCGCAGCAAACGACCCGTCGAAGCTTCCCCCGAAGCTACCCCGCCATCTCAGCAGAGAAGCAGTGTGGCTTCCTCCGAGCTGGTTCAGCCGGAGCATGTCTTGACGGCTCCTGCCAGCTATCCCCTGGATGGTATCACAGATTCTCAAAATTGCCACATTATGGCACGATGGATGAATTTGAAGGTCAAGACGGCTGTTGGCCAAGTTTATCCTAGTGGACCCGGCACAACTTATCACTGCCAGCCGATTCCAAAAGGATATGCTAAGGTGATGGTGGATGAAATAACGGAGGGATTTGAGGACCTCGTGCTTGACCACCCTACCGGTGAAGGGGAGACTAGGCTGGGTTCTGCTTTGAAGACTCCATGCCTATGGAAGAAGGAGCTCATCAACCTTCTGAACTGGACGCCTCCGCCTCCTCCTCCTGCTCCGGCGAGTCAGGGCAATCCGCCTCCTCCACCGCCTCCTCCTCCGGCGAGTGACGATCAGGGCACGCGTGGCGGCACTCCGCCTCCTTCTCCGGCGCATGGCAGCACTCCGCCTCCTTCTCCGCCTGCGCCGGTGCTCCCGAGCAGCCAGGAGCATCCCCTTTCTCCGCCTCGCCAGCAAGGGCGGAAGAGACCCGCCACCTCCCCGGCTGCTCCGGCGCGTCGTACTCCTTCTCCTCCGCCTCGTAAGCAATCACGAAATAAGACAGATGCCGCAGCCGCTCCGTCTGCTCCGGCGTCTAGCAGCACAACCAGAGGCGGGAGGCAATACAAATATGGTCCATCATCTCTCAAGCCTCTAGAGAAGTTACCGTACGAGAGGTCCGAGGAGGAAACCGATATGATTGTGCGGACCCACGTGAAGGAGTTCTTTGAAGGGGTGAAAGCAAAGAGACATCCACCTCCGGAGGAGAAGGTAGATCCGGTGAAAGCAAAGAGCACTATCGATGCCCTGAGGAAACCACCAAAGTCTCTGCCGAGAACCAACTATGAGCGCATTACTGAACAGACATATCTCCAAGCCCAGCGGTCGGGAACTACTGTCAGTGCTAAAAGGTCAAAAGAACGAGCAAAGGGAAAAAATTGCCCAGCTCGGCGAACAAGCACAGCAATCGTGCCCCCCGCTCAATATGTCTAATGCTCCGGGGACGGTGGCTGGTTATGGCAATCTTGACGATTAACTGCCTGACGATGCACTTCCTGATTTCTTGTAGGTGGACGAACACAGATACGAGTACGGGAAGCCTCTCGTCAAAGATGAAAAATCTCTGACAACAATGATGCGAAGATTCCATAATTGGTACATGGAAACCTGCAGAGAGTCTGAGGGTAAGAATGCTTTGTATCTGCATATTAAAGAGGAGCACGATCTCGTTGCAAATGATCTGTTGACTGTTCCATTTGATGAGTTCTTCGCGTTCTTCAATCAAAAGGCCCTCGATAAACTAATGGTCTTTTGCTACTGTATGTAAGTACTATTTCTGTCATTAAGTCTCTATATATAGCTCGGCTCTTTCATTTCATGTATTTATAATTAATTATCCTCAATATATTATGCAGATTGAAGATCGTCGAGTGCAAAAAACAAGAAATTTATGATATTGAGTTCATTAACACAAATATCATAGATGAATTTCTGGTTAAAAAGGACATCAAAGAGGCCGAGGACAATGTGCTACAATCATTGATAAAAAATCAAAACAAACATACCATACTCTTTCCTTACAACGGCAAGTGAGTGTTACTGTCGTGTGCATATTCGGTTTCCCTTATTACTCGAGCGAGGTTATAGTAATGTAATTGATGAGTTATGCATGCGTGCGCAGGTACCACTATATTCTTTTGGAGATTAAGCTTGAGCGTGGACTAGTAACCGTCTTAGACTCGAGACGGAAATATCCCAAATCCTATGCGGACATGACTGAAATGCTCAGCAAGTAAGTTCAATCGATCATTATCGCACCATATCGGCAACTTTTTGTTCATTTCCTGATATCTCAAGTAATAATAATTATTTTCTTTGTCTTGCAGGGTTTGGAAACAGTTCACCGCAGAAGCTCCGGGACTGCCGAAGGAGCTGCGATATACATACCCGAAAGTAAGTACTACTGGCTAGCTAGTTGCGCGCATCTCCCGTTGATTCTATAGCTATACTTTCATCAATGCCATTTATAATGCTTCATTATCAGTTTGATTGACCTCTATTTCTCGTAAAGTGCTTGTGGCAAGAAGAAGGGAATGATTTCTGTGGATACTACGTGTGCGAGTTCATCCACAACGCGACTTTGAAAAACAAGCGGGGCTACTCTCAAAGACAATATGAAGTGCGTAAGCAATAATATTCACAATTTCATTTTATTACACCATCATTTCTGTTGAGTTTCATTCATATATATGTATTAATTAACCCCCTTCTTCAAATTAGACGTGGCAGATGCGGAGTGAACTCCTAGAACCAGATCGCATGAAAGCAATTCAAGAGGAATTGGCGGGATTCTTTCTTGACCACGTCATCAATAAAGCTGGAGAATACCATGTGGAAATTGATTTCAATTGCTAGGGGATTGTAATTATAAGAGATCTTATACATATTGTACATGCATGTATGTAGCCAGTAGCGTCAGATACTTGTTGTTCGACCAATCTCTCGGAGAAGGAGAGAGGTCGATCGATCACTTCTCTCGGTATGCATGAACTTCTGTACTGAATGGTTCTCTCGATCACTTATGTATATATAGTACGTAGAGTCGACCAAGCACGGACATAAGAGAGGACACTTCTCTCTATTAATTAGCTAGCTAACACAATATATGAAACACGTAAATTAACCCCTCAAAACCCCCAATCCTCCCCCTCCTTTCAAAAAAATAACAAAAACCCCAACCAATGGAATGCTGACGCGTGGATGCTTTTTGGTCCCGGTTGGTGCCACCAACCGGGACCAAAGGACCCCTGACTGGGCTCGGCGCACAGGGCCACGTGGAGGCACATTGGTCCCGGTTCTTGTTTGAACCGGGACTAATGGGTGGAGGTATTAGTAACGGCCCATTAGTCCCGGTTCATGAACCGGGACTAAAGGCCCTTACGAACCGGGACTATTATGTGTTTTTCTACTAGTGAACCCACTGCGTTCGCCCGACATCAAAACGAACGCCATGGGGCGAAAACCTGACAACACCATAATCCCACAACCTGAACTACTACAGTCTATTACAGCAAAAGCTCAACAGAGGAGCCAAATATGAAACGGGTAGCAACAGGGGAACGCTAGCGGCAGCACTGAAATGCAGGCGAGATTGCAAGATCATTCTCCCTCGATCGGTCTTCTCGCCGCCTCGCACATCTTCATCATGCTCACAGTGCTAGACCTGACCATGGCCGCTCCGCTGCGCAGCTCCTTGACTCCATCGCCTTGCTGAAGACCTGCCCAATATATCAAAAAGGAACACATGGAAAACACAATCTCAAACGGTGTCTTGATCTACTTTTTCTCAAATGTGGCTCGATTTCGAGCCAGCCAGATAGCCCAGCAAACAGCCGCGAGGCCAACAGTATAGTATTTCTTCCCATAGGGAAGGAAAGTATGACACCAGGAGAAGTATTGCCAGTAATTATTAGGGCAGAGGTCAGTCCCTAGTGCCATTCCAACGCAGCGCCAGACCACTCTGGCCACCGGACAAGTGAAAAACAAATGTCGGGAAGACTTAATATTGTCACAGAAGGAACATTTAGGATCCCCAGGCCATTTCCTCTCTTTCATAACTTGCCTAGTCAGAACAGCATCCTGAGATATCTGCCACAGGAAAATTTTGATCTTGAGGGGGATCTTGGCCTTCCAAACCCATCTATAGTGGCAGCCACTAAGTGGATTTTCTAGCCATTTGTACATAGATTTAGTAGAAAATCTACCATTACCATTGAGCCCCCAGTATACTTGATCTCCCCCTGTTCCCAACCGGATACTGTCAATATAACCTCTCATTTCTCCCCATTGCCTCTGAAGATCAGGGGTCAATCTCCTTCTAAAGAAGGTGCTGGGAGTCACAGCTTTGACATTTGCAACAGTACAGTCCTTCTCGGTGCAAATGTCGAAAAGCAGGGGGTAACATTCCTGGAACGGCCTATGCCCATTGATGGAATCTTTCCACACTCTAGTTACATCTCCTGAATTAGTTTTGATTTTCCTACCAGCCATATACAGGGTCTTAACTTTAAGAAGGGCTTTCCAGCACGGAGAATCATTAAACCTGGATTCAACCGTAGCCACAGATTTGTTCCGCAAGTATCGAGCACGTACAATTTTCTGCCAAAGGCCATTTTGGGTCTCAAGTTTCCACCACCATTTGACCATCAAGCTAATGTTCTGTTTGCGAAGATCTTTAACTCCCAGACCACCTTTATCACAAGATCTACATATTCTGCCCCATTTGACCAAATGATAGCTCCTTTTTTTGTTACAACCTTTGCCAGAAAAACTTCCTTCTATGTTTATCAAGCTTTTCAATGAAAGTTTTGGTCATAAGCCACATAGACATATGATACAAGGATATTTGGGTGACAACTGAATCCAACAGAGTCAGTCTGCCCCCCATGGATGCAGCATTACCGATCCAGGCCTCGAATCTTTTAAGGTATTTGGCCACTATGAACTCCCAGTCAGAATCTCTAAGGGTGGAATAACTAATAGGCATACCGAGGTATTTGATGGGGAAGTTACCCACATCACAGTTAAACAACTCAGCATAGTATTTCAGCATGCTCTCATCGCCTCCCACAGTGAAAATCTCACTCTTCTGATAGTTCACTTTAAGTCCAGACATAAGCTTGAAGATGTACAGCAGTAACTTCAGGTTACTGCCTTATCAACATCGTGTTCCAGGCAGATAATAGTGTCGTCAGCATATTGGAGTACCGCAACTCCATTAGGGATGAGATCCAAAGCTAAACCCACCAGCAAGTTATTGTTTTGGGCATTGGTGATCATCTTTGCAAGACAATCAGCCGCTAGATTGAACAGGAAAGGGGAGTGAGGATCCCCCTGTCGCACACCCTTAGCACTCTAAAAGTAAGGACCAACCTGATTATTAAGTTTGATACTTACAGTACCATTGTGCAGGATCTGTTTGATCCAGTTGCACCATGTGTCACTGAAACCTCGTAGTTTATGACAATCTAACAAAAAGTCCCAGTTCACCTTATCATACGCTTTCTCAAAGTCAAGTTTCAGGACCACCCCCACCCTCTTTTTTACATGGGTATAATTCAGAATCTCATGTAGCGACAACACCCCGTCCATAATGCTTCTTCCTTTGATAAAAGCATTTTGAGTCGAGCTAATGAGCTTATCAGCGTATCTCTCCACTCGCCGATCCAAAACTTTAGTAATAAGCTTGTATGGGCATCTCAGGAGACAGATAGGCCTAAATTGTTGGATTTTATCTGCGCCTACAGATTTGGGTAAAAGGGTGATCACCCCATAGTTCAAACGTTGGACATCCAAAGTCCCATTATGAAAGCACTCAAACAACCTCATAAGGTCCTCTTTAACAATGTCCCAGCACACCTGATAGAATTCAACAGGAATGTTGTCAGGTCCAGGGGCTCTATTATGTGCCATAGAGAACAAGGCCTCCTTGATCTCTTCCTCCGTGAACTCACGACACAAATCAGCATTGTCATTAGCATTAAGCTTTTCCTCATCAGTCCATGTGTCAGGGTCAAGGTGGAACAAATTACCAGACCCAGGTCCGAAGAAACTTTTGTAGTATTCTGTGGCATGAGCAATGAGGTTGTCGGTGCCCTCAATCTCCACATCCCCAGCTTTAAGGGAGTGGATCGTGTTTTTCCTTTTGCGACCATTTGCAATCTTATGATAGTAGTCCGTGTTCAAATCCCCTTTCAAGATCCAGCATTCATGAGACTGTTGGAGCCAATAAATCTCCTCATTCACCAGTATATCATGAAGCTCAGTACTAACATCAATCTTGATGTTGTATAGCTCAGGGGTAAAGGACCATTTTCTTCAAGCTCTTCAAGCATAGCCAGCTCAATACGGAGCTCCTCTTTTCTTTTTTTGTCGTGGTCGTATTTATCTGATCCCTAACCTTTGAAGTAGGTTTTGAATCTTTTTAGCTTAATATTCAGGACATCAATAGGGTCAGAAGACTGAACCCTTCTAGCCCAAATCCTACTAACCGTGGGTAAGAACTTCTCATCTTTTATCCAGGAAAGATTAAAACGAAACTCACGAGGCTTAGGAGCTTCTCTACTTTCCTCCCCACTAGAAAGCAGTAGTGGGTTATGATCTGCGAGTTCTCGAACTAATTTCCTAACAGAAACCAAGGGGAAAAGATTTTCCCAATCTTCAGACATCAAAATCCGGTCCAGTTTCTCCAAAGTTGGGTGCGCCTGATTATTGGTCCAGGTATATCTACCCCCGCTGGTATAAATCTCTCTAAGGGCCAGGGCATTGATGATGGAGTTGAAAAGATCAGTAGATCTGCTACTATTCATCTTCCTATTCTTCTCATTGCAGTTTTGCAGAATATTAAAGTCCCCTCCCACAATGTAAGGGATACTCATGTTGTTGCACATCGCAGCGAGTTCCACCAAAAATTCCTCTTTAAACTCCTCATGTGCAGATCCATAAACTACTAGGAGGCCCCAGTCTTTCTTAATTTTTTTGTCATGCACCACCATTTGCAAGATATATTTGCCTTTGGTACATGAAATAATATCCAAAGTATCATGTCTCACACCACTCAGGATACCCCCGGATTTCCCAACAGATGGGATCCATTCCCAATGAAACAGACCAAAAGGATCAATCCTCCTAATGCATTTAGGGGAAAATTTTCTCTTCATAGTCTCCTGCAACCCAACAAAGTCCAGGGAATGGTCACTAATTAGGTTTGAGAGGCAGGTGGCCATTCCTTTCTTGCCTGCCCCTCTACAGTTCCAAATGAGGCCTCTCATTTGGAATGAGCTTTGTGGAAATTAGATCGAGTAGCCCTGCCAGGAGGCTTTGCAGGGCTACAGAACAGCTCTTCAGTCGGGATAAGTCTCTTTTGGCTCCTAGTAACAGGTCTAGTTAGCTTAACCACTGATTTCTTTTTGGTTTTGTTTTTGTTTTTTCCTAAAGAAATCTGTTCATGCAACACCTCTTCCTGGTCCAGCCAGGTGAGGTTAACAGGGATAGATTTACCCAGCCCATTAGTAACCAAAATGTCATCCCCATTATCATCAATGGTTTTGTTATTCTCATTCACCTTATCTTTGCCAGCTAAATTTTCTCTCACCCTCTCCAATTCTCTAAGTACATCCACATAGGAGAAATCATTATCAGGAATGTTCACACCCATGCAAGAAGCTCTATGTAACAGTTCAGAATTGGAGAGAACATCAAAAGCATTAGAACAAGCTGCATGGTTACCTCCTAAATCTTTTTTCTGGGCCAGCTCAATAGCTTTTGCTTCAATATTCACCTACATCCTCTGAATATTATGCTTGCTGAATTTAAGAGCAGCTTCTGGAGCTAGAGGAGGAGCGAGAATAATCTCATCACTGCATTCAGAAGATGGGAGCTCTACCACATAATCACTGTTGTTCTTCAAGCCTGCATCAATGTCTCCCTCCACCTCCACAATCTGAGCAGTATTAAAGACCACAGCAGCATAAGACAATGATCGACGAATAACCGACGAATTTTGTACCTTCACTTGCTGGCTCATATTTTCATTACCCCTCGAAGCATTGGTTTCAGTATGATCCAGAGTTGTCAGCCATTTAGGAGTATCCTGGATCATATGGGCCCCCGCCAGCTCGTGTTCCTTAGCCATCGTTTCAATGAGGAGGGAGGAGTCCACCTCATGGTCAGAAGACATGGACATCTCTTGCTCCTGTGGTGACAGACGACAGGTCTTGCCCCCACGAGCAGAAGTTTCTTTTTTCTCCCCACTTTTCAAGTTATATTGTTCTTCATCCATCCCCTGATCAGCTCGCTTGCGCTTAGGAGTCTGATCAGGTTTAGGAGGGTTGTCATTGGCCTCCACACGCACAGCCTCTTCGTCAACAGCATTGACCACCAGGATTTCCTCCACCTCAAAAGTAAATTTATAGAAACGCCCCCCCCCCCAACACTCCTTCAGCTGTGTGAGGGAGTTGTTTCACTGATCGACATCCAATCTTAGCTCTTACAGAAGACGGACGACTCAGAGTAGACATATCAACCTCCAGGGTTACACCCACAAGTCCCCCCACATAAGCTACAGTCTTATCGCAACGTTTATTAGGAGGGATTTTCCCAATCCTCACCCAAGCAACCTCTAGGAGCCCTTCAGAATTAATATCCTCAGACTAGGGGGAAAATTTAACAGCTACACCACACTTCTTCAGTTTAACATGTTCAACAAAAAGAGCACGATCAACTTCTCTAGGGTTTGGCATCCTCATCACAAACATGTTCGGAGCAAAAAAACTTAGCAGAACAAAGCCATCCCTGACCCACATAGACACTAAGCTCGTGCTCGATATCTTTGGTGAGCGCATCCCCCTCAGTGATAGTCACAACAACATTGAAAATCCTCTCCCTAGGCTGCCTATCAACACTGAAATCAGGAATATAAAAGAACCCCTGCCCCTTGCTCTGGAAACCACACATAGCAGGCAAAAATTCCCAAGGTAAGAATTCAGCACAAATAACCGACAGGTGCCCTTTCTTCTTGCACCGCTCACACATAGCTTGTGCACATCTAGCAGTAGGATGTCCATTCAGATTACAGATCTGACATGGAAAAGGGGGAGGGGCATTGTTACCAACATAAGCAGGAGGATCACACGCACGTGGAGATGCAGGATTCTTCTCCACCGCACGGGCCTCACTTGTGTCTCCATCTTCTTCGCCCCACCTCCCAGCTCGAGGAGGAGCAGCAAGATTGCCGCCGGCCGCCTCGTCCCACTTCCTAGATCCAGCATCCCCAGATCCAGAAGCTTTCTGAGTTGAGGATCCGCCTGACTCCGTCTTGCGCTTCCACACATAGCGGTCGAGGCTGCGACCGCGTCCCAGGCCGCGGTCGAAACGTCCAGCCCCCCGACCATGGCGCCCAGCCCCAAATCCCTCCTCTCTCATGGTGCTAAACTCACGAATCTGATCGAGGGTATGTGGTTGAGGTGGAGAACTCGCAACTTGAGCAAAGGACCGAGGATCACCATGGATTTTGCCCTCCCACCAGGTGCAGGAACTAGGAACCCTAGCTTTTGGAGGCGACGGCGCGTCCCAGAAGTGAGAGAGGCCTTCGCTGAGAT